TAATTGATGAGATAATTGATAATCTTAAGCTCTTTGTACTTTGAGTGTTACGCTCTCATTCCAATTGATAAGTGTTCCATTTTAAATGATTGATTTCTTACAAACATTTGACTTCCTCGTTTTTCAGTTGGCTAGTCTTTTTAATCACAGAGTAGAAGCAATAAGCAGACTTGAGTTTGAGTTATCTATAGGTTACCGATGTATTTTCAGACGTCATTTTGAAACTCCTTTTTTTATTGGGACACTTAAAATCTAAGCCCATGCGGGATCCTAAGGTTTATTAATATGTATTTTTTACCATCTGCAGGGAGTTCTGAGAATCTAACTGAGTGGTTCCCTTTAGTAAGGCCTGCTTTAATTTTTGTCTCTAAGCTTATAGCCGATTAACCCTCATGTTCCTTAAGCCTTCTCGATCTCTAATCCAATTAATTGCTCTGTAAGAATTGCTTTTGTGAAGATATATCTAGTTTTATAGAACTTCTCAGATTATTGTGACTTAAGAAACAAGTTTTGACTTCAGACTCGGCTCTGCCCATCCGAACTTGCCTTGGCCGCTCAGCACGAACTTGTTGGTGACGGTCCAAAAGCTCTCTTCCCAAAGTGTTCTGCATTGTCTATCACATCTGAAAATTGCATTGCCGTACTGGATTCTCCCTCTGTTCTGGTAAGTTATCTCAACTCACTTGTGATTTTGTGACAAAAATATGACTTTAAGATGCCCGCAGTGCCAGAAACAGAAATTCCGCGTAATCATCTTACCCACTTCTGCTATGTAGATAGTGGGAAGCACTATGAAGGTACCGCATCTACAACTGTAAGCGGGAAAACTTGCATGAACTGGAATGAGGCACCATCGAGGTATTCTTACCTATCTCATACTTACCATAAATTCTAATTCTAAGTTTCAACTCTTAAATTTGTTAAATGATTCAGAGAATACAATGTGAACAGATATCCCGAACTCCGATATGGTAGGAATTATTGCCGTAATCCGGGTGGTAAGAAAACAAAACCGTGGTGTTATTCGCAACCGATGGGCCAAGAAGAATACTGCGATGTAGGATTTTTAATTAAGTTTGATTAGTGGAGTTCTTACAGCAATTTCATTATAAGACGATTTAGCGCTTGGAAATTCTATCCCTTCGTGGCATCTATAAATTAGGAGCTAGTTCTGAATTCTGCCGCACCCTTTTTTCTTCCATAATTTCTTTTTCTTGCAAATTTGAATGGACTTTTCTAAAGTTT